TTACGATTCCTGGGCGCCCCCCCCCCCCCCCCCAAAAAAAAATAAAAATGAGACAAAAAAAAAAAAAAAAAAAAAAAAAAAAAAAAAAAAAAAAAAAAAAAAAAAAAAATAAAAAAATATAAATAAAAAAAAAAAAAAAAAAAAAAAAAAAATAAAAAAATTAAATTACCCCAAACCCCCTCAAAAAAAAAAAAAAAAAAAAAGAAGAAAAAAAAATATTATTCTTCTTCTCTCTATTCATTGATCCTTATATAGAAAAAAAATATCTAATTCTAATATCTAATGATTTCGATGACATTTAATACCAAAGTGTGTGCATTCGAGAGTATAAAGAAAACAACAAAGGCGTTTTTATCCTTACAAGATGTCGATAAAATTAGAGTAAATTGGTTCTATTCTCAAACCTTAGTGACATTTATTTATAGAAACATATGTAGAAGAAAAACAAAACATAAAATCTCACACACAACTCAAGAGAGTGTTGACAGTTATACTATTGTTTTTTCAAATTAAGTATTTTTTTTTGTTTTCTCATTTTTTGTTTCCTCATTGTTTTAAAAACAACAACGCGTTCAATTTGTTCTACTTGATTTTTGTTTTCTCTATACAACAAAATGGTTTATAATCTTATTAAAAGCGATATATATATATTTCACTTCCTGTTTTTGCTATTTATATAATGAGAGAGAGAGAGAGATCATCTATTTCACAGTTTTTTGGTTTTCTATTAGCTATTCTCAATTATTCAAAAGTCTAAAAAAAAAAGAAAACTATTCTATTTTACCCAAAGAACATATGATTTGTATAATATATTCTCTATGTACATAACATATTCAAGTTGATTAGATATTATATTAATAACAGTGATTTATTTATCTTTTTGAGTTTTGTTATTGTTAACTGAAACGTTAAAAAAATAAAAATAAAAATTCTTTTTTTCATTTATTGACAGACAGAAAAGATAGATAGATATAGAGAGAGACATATTTGTATGTTTTTTTATTTTTTTATCACATAAATCAAACGAAAAAAGAAGAAAGAAAACAAAAATAAAGAGTTTTTATATAAGAGAAAAGAAAAGACAGATGATAATGATTATTATTATTATTATTATTAGAATTAATTATAATAATAATCATAATAACCCGTCTAACGAAGTACTAACGAAATAATATTCTCATCATTATTATTTTTGATCGTTTTCTCTTCTATTCTTTTTTTCTCTTTTTTTTTTCTCTTTTTTTTATTTTTATTTTCTTTGTGTCACACGCAAACAATAGAGATAATATTACGATATAATAGAGCAACAGGAAACGTGAGAATATAAATGCACAAACAGATCTCTTTAAATATTACCATCAATGATGCTATGATTTTGTCTAATTGGTTGGTCTCGACAATATAAATAGGATCAAAATGGTAGTTAAAAGTCTATTTTTAGGAACATTAAATAAATGGTGAAAAACTGCTTATTAATCTTTAGTTTTTGATCGATATGTAACAAAAACAAAAGCAAAAAAAAAGAAGAATGTCTTATATATATTGTATTAAATAGACTCTCTCAAACTTGTTTTTCTATACATTAAAATATTCTCTTCAAATATTGCTTCTTCATTTCCTATATGGTTATCTAATGGAGAAGAAGAAGAACAAAAATTCCTTTCTTATTGTATTTTGCTCTTTCTTAACTTATTAAGCATATTAACGCCTACTATATATACTTTCTGTCTTATGCAAAAATTGATGTATATATATATATATATATATCCTCGTGTGTTAATATTATTTCATTTGTCGCCTATGTTCTTCTCTTTTTCTTTCTTAACTGATTTAGATGACCCTGTATTTGGCGTCTACATTTGTTAGAAGAATTTTTTTTTTTTTTACAACAAATCGTACAACCTTGCAAGATAATAATATAGATAAGAGGGAGAGAAAGAGTTATCTCCGCAAGATAAATTTGTAACGTGCACACTATTAATAATACTAATAATAATAATAATAATCAATGATGTATCATTTTCATAAAATGAACAACATCTTCGTTCATTTCCGGAAATGAAATGGAGTCTTCTTCGCCTTCTTCTTCTTCTTCTTCGTCTGCTCTACTTTTTTCTTGTTTATTGTGAAACGCTCTAAAGTTCAGGTACTAATAAAATGCAAAACAGTTGTTTGCAATAATCATTCACACATCACGATTCTCGTTCAGATCATATTTCTTTCGTCAGAAAGAGAGAGAGAAAAAAGAATAAAAGAAAAGAAAACAGACCAAGACAATTGTGTATTATCATCAGTATTTGATTTTATTAGACTGATTACCTACTATTATTATTGTTTCTCACTTTATTCGCACTTTGTAGACATTTAAACTATCGAATGAGAAAAATAATTACATGTGTGAAGTGCAAACACCAGTGTGAGTAATTTATTACGTCTGTGTGATAAACTACTATTAAAACTTTGAAAAGAATTTGATATTTGTCTCATAATTCATCATCTCATGATTCCACTTCGTTTTTAAGACACCATTTTGAGAGAATAATTGTGTTCTTATAAAAAATAGTTTAGTAAAAAAAACAACAACTTTATATTGAAACCAGAGTAATTTATTTGCATATCAAATATTGTGCCTTAGGATTTATTTAATTAGTTGTCATATGATCTAATTGAATGATTCAAACAAAAACATCATAGAAATACGAGGGATAAAGAAAGAAATCGTGCAGCTAAATTGTTTAATGTCAAATTGTTATTATCTTCTCTTTTTATGTTTAGAGTTTTCAAGAAAAGTAGTCCAAATTCAAAGGTATAGAACAACAAATGACTATATTCTTCGTAGTACCTCGTGACTTATATATATATATTTATATTGTAGATAACATGCTACCTTGGGAAACGCGATTTCATCGATTATATGGATCACATCGATCCAATTGGTAGGTACATAGGAAAAAGAGAAAATATAGAAAAACTGAGAGAGTATCATCGATATACGGGGGGTGTAGAGGTTGGGGGGCGGGGGCGACAAATTTTGTTTGCATGAAACTTATTAAAATTGATAGAAAAAAAAATATATTCTGAACAGGATGATATTTCTTTATAAAAATCATATAATAATTTTGTTTCTCTCATTCTTTCTCTCTCTCTTTAGATGGTGTTGTATTAGTTGATCCTGAATATGTTAAAGAACGTAAAGTATATGCATGTGTTTTGGCCGCATTTCGTTATGGCAGAGAAGATTTAGATGTATTAGGTTTAACATTCCGAAAAGATTTATTTTGTTCATCACAACAAATTTATCCACCCATAGATGATAAAAAAAAATCATTAACACATTTACAACAACGATTACTAAGAAAATTAGGTCCAAATGCGTATCCATTTTATTTTGAAGTATGTTAATTGTGTAGAAAATAAATAAATAGAAAAGATAATCTCTAAAAGTTGAACTGAAAAAATATATGGCAAATTATTCAATGTTATTATTTACTAAAAATGATTGATTAGTTTTTTTTTTGATAAATTATTTTTGTCCGTATTTTATAGATGCCATCAAATGCGCCAGCCTCTGTAACATTACAACCAGCAGCTGGTGATACAGGAAAACCGTGTGGAGTTGATTATGAATTAAAAACTTATGTAGCTGAAACTGCTGAAGAAAAAGCACATAAAAGGTAAAATAATATGTTTTTAAAACATTCTACTAACTGATCTTATTCTTAGAATAAATTAATAATATTTTTTTATCATTATTTTTAGAAATTCCGTCCGATTGGCTATTCGAAAATTGACATATGCACCTGAAACTCCTGCCCCACAACCAGTTGTTGAAGCTCATAAAGATTTTATGATGTCACCAGCACCATTACATCTTGAATGTACATTAGACAAAGAGGTACGTATTAAATTTAACTATTATATTAAAATTTATTTATTTGTTTTCTATAATTTTTAATATTATTTTTTTTCTTTATCAGATGTATTATCATGGTGAAAGTATAAATGTAAATGTTGTTGTGACAAATAATTCAAATAAAACATTAAGAAAAATTAGAATAGCAGGTTAGTTTTAATAAATAAAATATATTTTTAAAGTTAGGAAAATTAGTTAACTCTTTTTTCACCAGTGGTTCAAAATGCCGAGATATGTTTGTACAGTTCTACTCAATATAAATGTGATGTAGCTTTACTTGAATCATCGTAAGTTTTTTATTTTCTAAATGGAAACAATCACATGTACCTACACACATATATTATCCTAAGTATATATGTATATGTATAAATATATATATATATATTGCACGCTAAATGTGTCGACCTGTGTATAAAGTGCTTAGATGTATTGTAATCACAAACCATCACAATTGTCTTTTTTGTTTTATGTTGTATCGTTATAGTGAAACAATATGCTGAAATATGTATGTTTACAAATGCACATTACAAATGTACTGTTGCTGAATTAGAAACAGAGTAAGTTTTTAATTCAACAAACAAAATTTATTTTAAAAAACAACAACAACATAAGTCGAGTCTATCTTCTTCTTAACTATGATTATTATTATTATTATTATTATTATTTATTAGCGATTATTTGTTTTGTTGTTTAGTATAGTGTACTGTTTAGAATGCAAAAAACATATTTGTTCGTTCTTAATTAATTAATAATATTTTTTTTATTTTTAGTGAAGGTTTTCCGATTACACCGTGTACAAATTTAACAAAAGTTTATTCACTAATACCATTATTAGCTAATAATAAAGATAAACGAGGTTTAGCATTAGATGGAAAATTAAAACATGAAGATACAAATTTAGCATCATCAACAATGTATGTTAACATTATTGAATTATATATCATTTATACACATTATTCTCCTTTTTTATTTTATTTTTATTTATAGCATTCGGAATGCAACACAAAAAGAAAATTTAGGCATTATTGTTCAGTATAAAGTAAAAGTGAAAGTTATTGTGGCCATGGGAGGGTATGTATGAAACTATTAATAATCTGTATAGTATATAGAAAATATTTTGTTTTTCTCTATTCTATAGTGATCTGGCTGTTGAACTACCATTTACTCTGACACATCCCAAACCGCCTCCTACTCCACCACCGTCACGTCAGATCGAATATTCAACATCTCCGAATCATCATGAAACCGGCGATACTAATAATGATATACCTGTCGATCATAATCTAATACAATTAGATACAAAGTAAGACAAATATCTTTGTTTATGGTAATAGCATTGAAATGTAATAGTTCTCAGTAAATAAAACATCGTCTATTGCTCTCTAAACCAAAAATAGTAGAAAATTTGTTTTCTCCCACATTTTATTCTGAAACAATCTGGACAAAGGTTATAAAACAATGAATTAAATATGTTGTATTTTTTCTTCTATAATTTAGTTATGAAAGTGGTGGTCAAGATGATGACTTTATATTTGAAGAATTTGCACGTATACGACTGAAAGGACACGATGGAGATGATACTGAAGCATAATCTATCATAAATAAAAGAGGTAACGATTAAAGACAATACTCTGTTATATATTGAACTATCATTTATTCTATTGTTGTTCTAGTTTTATCGAATAAAAGTCGTTTTGCTCTCAACTAAAGTTATCTCTTTTCTCTTGTTTTATTGGCAAACAATCCGTGATTGTTTTTTGTTTCACTGCTGCGCTTGTGTTTTTATTTAAAATAAAAAAAAAAATTCCTTTTGAATTTCGTTTTTTTCTAAACAAATAATTATTATTCTTACCTTGTACGTATTTGTAACTTTCTTCTTTTTGTTGTTATTGTCGACTATTTTGGATAACATTTTTTGTTTTTTTTTTGTACATTTTCTCTCTTTCTCTTTCTTTCTTTTTTTTTGTGACGTTGTTTGTTCAAAGGATGGGAAAACGACAGAAACTATCAGATGAGAATGCATACACATACAAATAAGTTCATATTATGGAAAAGAGATAGTAATTCGACAATTACACTGCTGTATCCATGCGTGTTTTCCCCCTTTTCTTTAAACATTTAATAGTAACAGCTCACTCTCATCCGATTAGAACTAAAATTGTCTTAGTTAAGTAAGAATCGAGATTTCCATGTCCAACAAAATTAACTTCTGTTTTTATCAGAAAAAATACTTTTTAATTACATCTGATTTTTCATTACATACTCATATTTCTGTTATATTGTACAACAATCTGTTTATGGTGAATCAATTTTTTATGCGTCTGAAACAAAAAAACGGACAGTATAATTTTGTTCACATATTTCGTGACAGTTGGTCAACTCGCATCAAATACTATACATAGGAAATTAATAGAATATTAAATTCATCGAATAGAGAAGTTGTTCTCTATTATAGGGTTATCAAACAGACTTACCCATGGTGAAGATTATCAGAATACACTTTTTTCTTCATATTTCGCTCTCTCTCTCTCTCAAATCGGATCTCATACACACATACACACACACACACACATAGAATGTTCTTGCTTTAAACATCCTCTTTTGTTATATCGCTTTTAATCTAGTCAAAAACATTCATAAATTATTTCAACAAAATTGAATCGAACAAATCTTCTTTATATTTGTCTCAATTTTTTGTTTTTTCGTCTTTCGTCATTGCGACTGAGAGAGAGAGCATTTATCCATAATATATATATACATACACTTCAAAAGGAGGAGAAAATTGTTCTATGATATACTCTTTTCTTTTCTTTGTACGCATCCATATCAGACAGATTTCAGTTTATTACCTATATCTATCTATAAATAAAAATCAATAATATCTGCCATTTGCTTTTGTTTTTATATATTTGGATAGTTGTATGTCTAACTTTTTTTTATTCTGATGCGTGCATGAATGAATGGAATGATTTTGTATTTTATCTGTTTTTCTTGTATATTTTTTTTTTTTTGCTTTTTGTGTGTGAAATATTCAAAGAACAAATGGAAAATATGTTTTGTTTTTGTTGTGCTGGTTTTGGAACCAGTTTAAATAAATAAAAGTCAAATAGATATAGTTGACTATTTTTCATCATATTCAAATCAAAAACGGAATATATAGTCTTGTTTACTAATGAAACAGTAGCACTCAAACGTATACAAGCTACAGAAAATCGAATTCACGCTGTCTGCTTTATTTTGTGTAAAATTCTTTTTAACTTCATATGATAAAATGATGAGTCAAGTAATCGTATGACTCAATGTTTATTATCAACAAATTTGTTTTATTCTATCAGTTAAGAGATATGAGTGTATGTACGATGAATGAGTTTACAAATGAGCAACAGGAGATTCTATCAACTTGATTATGATTTAGTTTGTTCTAGTAATAATTCCACGACTAGTTGGATACCAGAGGATAAAATTTCAAAATCAGAAAAACGTTCGTGTTGTGATATAAAAAAGCAGAAATAAGGCAGAAAAAGAGTTCAAAAATCAGAATTTTTCTTTCAAAATTAGACGATCTGAGATCCCTGCTTGATACATAATTTAAAAGAAGCAAAACGAGTAGACATTTAGAATAATAATTCAACAAAAATGTTTTGTCTGTTTTAGATCGTTCGTGTGTTTTTTTTTTCTTCTCAACCTTTCCCTTTGTTTTAATAGGACTAATTAAGTGACTTCGATGCTTCGCGTTAAACATTTTGCGTGGATCATATTGTCCTTATTTTGTTTCTGTTTTTTGTATATCAACAGACATTTATATACTCTACCATCATCATCAGCAGCACCATCAACGATAGAGAAAAAAATACTCGACGAGGATAATAATAATCAAATGGGTGGAAAACAAGCATCATTATCATCATCAAATAGTTTACTTATTGCTGAAACAATCAAAAAATATATTGCTACTAATAGTGTTGTGGTATTTTCAAAAACATATTGTCCATATTCAATGAAAGCAAAAAATGTTTTATCAAAATATAAATTAAAAAATTATAAAATAGTTGAATTAGATCAAGTTGAAGATGGAGATTTATATCAAAATGTATTACAAGAGATGACCGGTGCACGAACAGTACCACGAGTATTTATTAATGGAAAATGTATTGGTGGTGGAGATGATACTCAAATGTTGGAAAATAAAGGTGAATTAAAACAATTATTAACAAATGCAAATGCTATTGAATTGTAGAAGTGCAATTAGTTTTATAAGTTTTTTTTAAAATGAAATGTGATCAAAATTTATAAAAAAATAATTCTGTTTATAAGATGCTAGAGTAAATCAGCTCATTGTATAGATTTAAATGTTAGGTTTTGTTCGAGATAATACAATGTGTACGGAATTTGATCTATTCTAACATATGAAAAAGAAACAAGAAAACAAAATATATACCATTCTGTACAGTAAAATATCAATGTTATTGAATAGTTTCCTTTTTTCATATATAAAAAGGTCCATTAATATGTGATAATTAGTAAAGAGTTCGTTTATGTGAGAAATATATGTGCATCACTGTTCGAAGTTTGTCACGTATAATCATAACATTTCTTTCTTATATGTTATATTATAAACTGTTAGAACAAGATAAAACATGTTCGTCTGTCATTCACAATATAAAGACAGATACCATGTGATAGTTGCAATGAGAATATCATACGCAATAGTAACTCATTACAAATTGACTTCTTATCAGTAATACATATATTATTATTTGGAGAAATCGCATCCGTTCGATGGCTACCAATCATCAGCATTTTGGAACCTAAATATTATTGAATCAAGACAGAAAACATTCGGCAAGTTATTTAGTGTCATTGTATCGCTATTATAGTCGTCTAGAGATTTCAACACTTTGACATTTAATACTTGACTCAGAACTATCATAAACAGAAAATAGAACATTTCAGATCGTATCTTGTTATTTAAAATTGTTTTAGACTAAGTTTTCTAAAGAGTAAAGTTTTCCCGAAAATCAATAGCAAAACAATGTTCGGATGTTTATTTTTGTTTGAAAATTGTTTGTCACATATGTCATTCAATGCAATTTTTCACACTAATTATGAATCTAATATAATTATGAAATTTGACAACTAAAAACCTGAAAAACATTCATTAATTATTGTAAGAATATTTGTTCAGCACAATTCATAACTGTAAACACACACAATTACAGAGTTTTATAAAGCATAAAAAGCTGATTCTCATCCACTAATGTACTTTAATTTGTATTTCTATTATCACGTCAAAAAACGGACTTTATTTTATGCCATCTCTGCCTTCTTCAAAATATGAGCTTGTATCATGTACTTCATACATATCCATGAAGACCAGAAAAGTTGTCCAAGAGTATGGCAGGAGTTCGACCACCCGAAAAATGAGACTTCAATCTCTTGATATAAACATTCGTCGGATCATCAATTTTAAGGCGTTGGATTTCTGCTAGATAGCGAGCCCCCGAACAGAGATGTTCAGGAATCATGCGATAAAAACTTCGCCCGAGGTGTAAGGTGAGGACTCGAAATTGACAACCTCTCGAACGCTTATATAAAAAGGGCAAAGCCTTATTTTTCAAGTGGGCGAGGCCCTAGTTGGAACTCTCGACAAAACTCCTTCACGACCCCTATCACGGGAACCACTAGGGAGTTGGGTGAGACTTTTAAGGGACTTCTCATGACTTCCGCGGGGCTCTGAACACTCTTTAGTCCCACAGGAGTCCTTTAAAAGCCCCACTCGACTTCGTACGGGATCCCGTAAGGAGTTTCATGGAAATTTTATCGGGAGTCTCGACTAGGATAGCTTTGCAAAAATGCATGTTGTAGAAGCAGACGCCTTTGGCTACAAAAAGCAAGGTAAGCCTTGGGTAAAGCACGAAAAAATTATCTATTGGCCCATGGCCTACTGATCCTTGGGTAAGCATTTTCCAACAGAATAGACCTTTTTGCATCCATCATTCAGACATTTCCATCAGTTTTTAACGAAACATGTTTTTTGAGCTGAATCCGAAACTCCCCAAAGAGGTACAAATTTGTTCTAATTGGCTTTGTAAGATCAAACAATATCAGAGGGGATATTAAAAACTGAGTGTGAGTTTACAAAAAAAGTATCTCTGAGGCGTAACCGCTGAATCGGTGTATATATAGGACTAAAAAATCTCTGATAGATACAAAGTGTCAGAATATGACGAAAAATTTTTTAAAGCGGCTACTATTTTTTAAAAAATACGCTATCTTTGTAAATCACATTTTCTGCACAAAATCAAGTTAGAAAAACTACACCCGTCGTCAGTATTGTTAAATTGATGTGCATTTTCCTTAGAGTGAGTAGATTTTCCTATGTTTAAAAGAATAAAAGTCAGTGATTCAATTCATACCGGCATCACATCTTTATATTAAAATGTATTCATTAAAAATCTTAAAAGTAGAAAAAAAGCAAACTGTACAGAAATATAAAGAAAACAGTGTGACCTACGTTATATTAGTCTCATTGTTCGTGTTAATTATTCATCTACTTAGTGACAGAGGACACATCTATCTCTTTAATTTAATTTTGAGAAAAAATGATCAGCCAGAGCGTCGTTAAAGATATTTCACTGGAAATGCCACTGGATTTTTAATAGCTTTGAATTTGTTGTTATTTTTTAAAATAAATACGTTCATATTTTATTATCGGTAATAGACAAGAAATTTGTTTAAAATTTCAAAACGAGAAAAAGGTGTATGGATTCTTAATATTTTTAAAATATTTCTCAATGTCTAATTTCATTTTTAGTAAACCATTTTTCATTTTTTTGTAATAATGTTGCAAGTATTTTACATGCATTTTGTACTTGTTCTTTTGTACCTTTAATAAATAAGGGTCGATTCATTCGTTTATTTGTTGCCTTATCCACACAAACATAAGCACCTGTTTGTTCTTTTATCTGTTTAATGTTTGATGCATTACATCCGATAACACAACCTGCTTCTTTATTACTAATCATGTACATTTTAATTACATTATAATCGTACGATAATTGACGACGATAAATATTATCTTCGTAAAACTTTTTTTCTCATCTGATTCTTTGAAGTTAGTGTGAGACACAATCGTAGCTAAAATAAGTTAACTTAGTTTCTACAGGAATTATGAGTAGGCATACACCGGTATCGGTATCCATACCGAAATACCGATACCAAAAATACCGACTTTTTTGGAATTTTTTTATTTAAAATGAAATATTTTAGCATCATGGACAGCCAAAACACAAAAAACAATCAGCTGTATATTCTGAACATGTGCAGATAGAAAATAAAGGAAAAATTTGACTTTAGAAAGCAAACAAAGCTCGTGTCTCTGATTCTTTCTGCGTGTCCAAGACGCTAAACTATTTCATTTCAGATGGAAAAATCCAAAAAATTCGGTATTTTCGGTATTCAGTATATATCTAATTATGAGTGTGATGCCACCGTTTGACGAAACAATACTCACAAATAGAATTTGGTTTTGTCACTACTGTAGATTTTTGTTGTTGTTCAGTATTTATTGTAAAAAGTTCTCCATAGTCTAATTTTTCATTATAATTATTTGGATTATATAAGATAATTTCATTTTCTCCTTTATGACACAACAATGAATAAATCTCTTTTAAACAAGCTAAAATATTTTCTGGTTCACCTCTAAACAACAAAATTTTCTCCGTTGATTTTGGTAAACAGTTTGGATAAGTTTTAATCGTTTGAAGTTGATATTTTTCTATTAATTGTTTTAAATTAGAATCTAATTTACCAATCAATGATGGTATAAGAGAATAATGAACGAGTAAACATAATTCATTATTAATAATATAATCTATCGTTAAAACATCAATATTTGAAATCGTTACTACACATTCCCCATTCACCTTCTTCTATTTTTTCAACATGATTCTTCAATTTAGAAACACATTTATTTGAAATTAATAAACGTATTGGCTCAGGAGAAAAGTCTAAAAATGATCGATCAGTAAAGTATGCGTCGATAAGTTTTTAAAATTGTAGTTTCATGAAGATGCTGCAATTATCTTCTGAAAACTCATTTTGCTCACTGTACTATGACATTTTTTTCTCCCGCCCCCCTTCCCACAGTGTGCATTCAGGCGGACATTGGTTGAAAAAATCAAAATCGATTTTTAAACGATTCAGATAGTGAACAATATACTTCAAGACATGCTCTATTCGATAGCATAAAAAATTTTATTAAAAAGTTCATGGAGTATGGAAAAAAACAGCTACACAAAAATTAACCTGTAATTAGTGATATCGGTGAAAAATGAAAGCTTACCCAAAAATGAAGACTCTCGTAAGCAAATGAGCTGTAAATTATGAATCTCCACGGCATTTTTAGTATATAAAAGGTTAAAAATAGTTCGTAACTTGCGTTGGAGATTGTTGAGAAAAAAAAATAGAAGTTTTTCCTATATTTGTATTCCATAAAAATGACATAGCCAGAATCAGCGCAAGAAACTACATCTAATGATGTGCGATTTTGTGAGAAAAAACTTGTTGGATCTAATGAAACGCTAAAGTCGAAGCATAGAGTCACAATTCAGGCTAAGAATTTTGATATTTGCTATGTTTATAGACTTTCGACTGCTTCTATAGCAAATGTCCGCCTGGTCTACGGAAAAATGCACACTGTGCCCCCTTCCCCCTCGATAACTAGACTAATTTACATTTAGATTGTAATGTTTTATTTTTTACCTCTTATTTTCAATAATTTTAATTCATCATTCATTTTCACTTGTTTATAATCGATTCGAAATCTTAACGTTTCCAATAGTTGAATTTCTCTATTAATTTTATCTAATTTTTCTTAAATTTGATTTATTTCATCGATGGTGACATTTTCAACAATTGCCATTGATAGATTATCTAATATTGATATTATTGAATTACGAAATACATTTAATTCTTCATACGACACTTCTAATTCTGATAGTGTTTCTTTGTGTATCAAATTTGTTTTATTTATTAAAGCCGACTTCCAATTATTTAGGTCGTTTTTTTCATTTACATAACTTTGAATAAATGGGAATAGTGAATCATCGTCAGTGATTCTTTTTACTTTAGTTTTTTGATTTTGTAAAGTTTCTAACAGTGGAGAATCTTGAGACATGTAGAAAATTAAAAATCTAAAATAGAAGATTTTATCCATTGACAATATAATGAATTCAAACTTTCATTGGTCTTTAACATTTTTCTTGATTTTTCAAAATAAAGAAAAACAAAGTCCAAACAAAAATGTTAATAAGTGCTGAAATTGACGAATTTAGTTTAAAAAAAATCTATCATGTAATCTCATGAAAGAAAGTGTTTCCTCATTGTTAAATAATGAGAACATACCCATAGAGAAGAGAACAATCAAATGAATATAGATACCACTGATTTGTCACCTGTATGTAAATGAGAAGAGAAGAAGTATTTTCTTAATAATTTTGTAAACAATCTGTTTTATTGCATTGGATGACATATTTGCTATTTCTTCAAACAAATGGTGGGATCCATGCAAAATATCTAACACTATGTTCACATAATTGAGCAACTTTGAGTCATCCAATGCAAATAACTTGACTCATGTAGCTTTGTACGATAGACTAACTTCATAAGATTGCAGTTGTGTCAATATCTTACTTATAAGTTCGAAGAAAATGTAATAGTATGAAAAAGATTATTTTGGACAGAAAATAGAGATATTCATCGAAATTTTCGTAAAAAGAAACCTCTATCACCTCTGAAAAGCCAATTTCAACATCATGTTCAAATTCATCATCTAATTGTTCAAGCTTTTATAACTGTCGAGTGTCGGAGAAAATATTATGCTCATATTTACTGGCAAATAGGATGAGATTTAACCAACATGTCTTGCTAACAACTTGGAAAACGACAAAGTTTCACAAAAAAATCATGTCGATTTTGAAGGAGGACGTCCATTCTATAAGATTGTTATTTGAAACAAAATCTTGCGTCTTAAATGTTCAATGTTCAATAGCAAGTTTTTTCAATCAAAAACGATTAAGAAATCGGAAAAATACCGGTGAAAAGTTCAGAAGGTATGTCTTTTTACTCCAGAGTACTCTATATCATTGTTAAAAATTGTTTTTAATCAAATAATAATCTACAACGTCACTTTTTTGGTTATATAGTTTTACAAAAAAAAATTATTCCAGTATGTCATATGCATGTATGACGAAAAGAAAAGAAAAGAAAAAGATAAGCTTAGAACTCACTCGAGTTATTCAAAGATTTTAACTATGACTTATTCGAGACGAGTATTTTTATCTCAGGGAAACGAGAGTTATATCATGTTCACTGCTCTAGATTTCCTCATCACACAATCTTGACAATACTGTGCCAATGCACGTATACACAATACTTATCATGTCTGCTTGATTATCATCCAGGAACGGCACTTTCATAATTTTATGAAATTTTAGTTGTTAATTTTGATATAGGAACTGTGATAACAAGTTCTTTTGAAGCGCGATTAGCATCATTCAAGTGGTAAAACTAGAAGCTGTTACTATGACTAACATGAAATTGTACATTTATTAAATGAAGAAATCACTAATGGTAGAATAAAACTATTGTTCTACACACCAAATAATCAATATTGGAACCTTTTAAGTGATATGTAAATATTGTCACGCGAGTATTTGTTTTATAGTTTTATTTCAACTTACAAGTAGTATACGTGACTTCACATTCTTGGAATCAGTCGAACGATACATATTATCGTGTTTTGAAAAGATGGTATATTAACTGTCAAATACAACATCTATACCATCAATCATCATATTCATATGTTGGCTTAGTATTTACATTGATCTATCGGTCATATTCTATGTGTTATGCATTCAGCTTAAATGTATTCATGATTTGTTACATTCAATTGTTACATTTCTAATTCGCATTACAATCTTGATCTTGTCTACTTCAAGGGTACACTCGCTCTTTTTTTCAGTTTCTGAAATATAGTGAAGGAAGCATCGAATAAACTTGAAATTTGTATCAGAGCTAGAAATTCGAAAAAAGAAAATCGATGTGTTTTTGCTCAGAAGTATCTAAACAAGTCTTCCATGAATTTTTTGAGAAAACAAGTTTTTCATCGTCAACCATTATCACATTCCAAAAATTTTATTAGAGATACCTAAAAATAGTGTTTTCACAGATGTGTTTCTTTGGTAACATTTTTATCTTTCTTTTCACGCTATAGTAAAAACGAAACCTATGTGAAGAACCAATCTTTTTCGTATTTCTAGTTCTTCTAAAAAATTTCAAGTCTATTCAATGACCCCTTCACTATATTCCAGAAACTAAAAAAAAAAGAGAACGACTGCACCCGTAATGTCGTTATCGAAATAGAAAACATTGAGAAAGGTCACAATTAATCTAATTATCTATGGTGCATTGTCCAACAAATATTTATGCACTATTGGAAATCTATAGTTTACCATTGGTTTCATAAAACACGTTGCACGTAATAATGACATAATTGAGTGCAAGTGGAATAGAATCCTATCCTCTTCTCTATTCATAAAAGGCATAGAAAATAAAAAAACTCATACGAATATTTCAAACTGTAGAAAATTTCCAAACTTACGAAGTGATTCTGCACATCTGATGAGGGAAGGTCACCAACTGTCCAATCGCTTTTGAGACGAAACCTAGTGAATTATAGGTTATTGACTATGATGACTCCGAATATGACCATGGCAGCTGCCCATAGATCTCTGGAGATCCTGTTTTTGGAAAACCAGTTTTTCAGAAACTCTAAAAAATAACCAAAACCCTTCTTAATGAGGCGTGATTGTAGCCTGCACACTTCTGATTAAAATGAGACATCTCCCAGCTCTACATGAGTTTTCTTTGCAAAGTTATAGAATTTACAAGAAGAGCCCTAAATGTTCATTGTCAGCTCAAAGCTACAGAAATAAGGAAAAAATTAACTTAGGGCTTTCTTTCTATAACTTTGTAAAGAAAACTCATGTAGAGCTGGGAGGTGTCTCATTTTAATCAGAAATGTGCAGGCTACAATCAGGCCTCATAAAGAAAGATTTTGCTTATTTTCTAGAATTTCTGAAAAACTGGTTTTCCCAAAACCGGATCTTCAGAGATCTATGGGCAGCTGCCATGGTCATATTCGGAATCAGCATAGTCGATAATCTATAATTCACTAGGTTTCGTCTCAAAAGCGATTGGACAGTTGGTAGCTTTCCCTCGTGAGTCTAAATATTTCATGATTTAAATTTTGTTCAACTTATTACTCTTAGCCATTTTACTCTTAAAAAATATTTTTGGTGTATTTTTACGACATCGATGAATTTTATTTTTATTGAATTTTTTAACATTAAATAAAAAATTTGTTTATCAGAAAAAGAACGGAGATACGAAACTGACTTTAGAAGCCGAGGAGAAATCATTCATGCAACTAAAGTCTACCATCTTCTTGTTGCCTCTGAATCTGCTGTGGTTAATGGTGTTTGTTTCCAATTTGGAGGTGATTGGGTCATTGGTGATTGAATAGGGGATGATGTCGGTTGAATAAATTTTTTAGCTACGCCATGTGCCAATAACATGCCACCGTATAAAAACGAAAATTTCAATAAAATACAACCAAAACCTTTGTAAAGTCCTGAACTGCCTTCTGTTTCTTCGATTGATCTTAAACAATTCATGAAACCAGAATAACTTGAATTAATTGGCAATACACCGACGCCCGTATCTGTATTATCGATAATTGCACGAACACCTTGCACATGAAGACGATGAACAACAGTTTCAATTGGATAAAATATAGCTTGTGATAAAAATGCTGATGCAACACGAGCAATGATCGATGCATATGTCGTTTCAAACAGAAGAACATTTTCTTCCAATTCATAATCTTCATCAATCGATAACTAAAACAATAATAACCAAATTAGTTAAGAAACTGATAAGAAATTATTCATATTACATGTGCCATTCGTCGTTGTTTTATTTTTCTATATCTATCTGTTTCTTGAATAGCATTTAATGTTGGTAAAATAATTTTATATAAAATTTTTTGACATAAATAACGTCCAGTCATTAGACCAATTGATGGAAGTAATATTTTCCATATTGGTAACATTTTAGCTCGTGATGGATTAGTCATCGGAATAAAACGAATTAATGTATCACGTAAACCATCAAGCATATTTCCATCTGATGCACTTATACTCTAAATATATACAAAATAATAGATTGAAAAGAATGACATGAATGGTCCATCAGAGAAATACCTGTACACTTTCGATAATCATTACATAGTAAATAGGCGATACAATAGCATAAGCAACTCTAAATAAGAGAATACACCGTTTAGAAGAAAAAAGAATATAATCATATAGTTGACACTGCAAAAACTTACGTTCGAACAAGTACGTCGCGTATAATCCGGCGAATTTTACTTGTACGACTATCTTTAGTTCTAAAACGAAAACAAAAAAATTTAACTCAATTTACAAATAAATGAAAGTTAGACTTACTTTTTAGCAGGTAGAATTTCTTGTATAAAATTATCTGTTGCAATGACTAGACCGTGATAGGCAAGTGAACTTAAGATCCCTTTCCATTGACTAGCTGGACCCTATGAAAATTAAGCTTTTAACAATAAATTTAAGAGAAAGAACAAAATAAGAATACTTGAGCTGAGATTTTGAATAATACTGGAAAAACAGTAACAGGTGTAAGATGATATTTCATTGCTTCATTGTTAATCTAAGAGAATAATGTGTACACTATTAGCAACTCTAATGATTTCTATGTCACTTGTTATTTTACCTGAGTCTGACGTCTTAGTACATCAAGTGGATATAATAAAACATATTCAGAAAAAAGACTAAAACAAAAAACTAAAAGCAGCGTGCAGTATTGTTTTGTAAAGAACAGAAAATGTAGTTACATACCTGGCTATTCGAAGTCCTGCCGCATAGTTACTGGCTGCTTGTTTCGAATCTATAAGCATCACGACGATCAACATTATGATACACTCTATAACCTCATATATTCTACTTCTTACTTACTAGAACTTGTGGATCGACTAACAACGTCAGGATAATGTCGAGGATTCTCCATAACCTCTCCGAAGAACGAGTAATAAATATAAAAATATTTAAGAGAATCTACAAGAAAGTAGAAGTATAGATGAACGACTTTGTTAATAAAACATTTAAATGACTAAATCTCATTTTCCGTTTTTTTATTCTCTCAAAATGTATAAGTTTATGTATAAAAGTAGACTATGAGTAAACACGATTTATTCTGACAATTAACTATGAGCTTCTATAAAAGCTTCATTTATTTTCTTAAGTTGTGGTATACAATTAAGACGAATAGAACTGAGGTGTTGCACTACTTTGTTTTCTATCAGCTATAATCGGAAGAACAGGTACAATATGGTATTCTATTAAATTATCTTCTGTACTATCGTACATGCATTTGTTGAAACAATTTCATTACAAAATATCCATTTAGTTTACAAATAAATCCTTATCGTGAGTTTTTACTGCAGAACAAGGATGTACATACCGAAAACATAGTTTAGAGAGATTATCTCTTTTTGTTGCAAGGATAAAAGAAAAATAGAACATGAAAAATAATTAAAAATTTAATAAATAAACAGCCTGTACACAAAACACAAAACGCTCATCGTACTAAGCATTTTGTTTTTTTTCCTCTAGTTTATTATCCATTGTATGTGCTTGTTCTTCCAACTCTTGCTCAAATTCTTCAAACACTTTTTTACTTCTTTTATCAACGATGTCTTCTGCCTAAAATATCCAACAAAAACAAGTGTAAACAAATAAAACAATGAGTGAAACTCTAGAAAACTGATTTACCTGCTCGACACCTTTTACTTCTGGAATATAAAACTGTAACATGTTCTGAATACCACTTTTCAATGTTATAATTGAACTTGGACATGATGAACACGCACCTTGTAGTTTCAATCTAACAATACCATCTACATAATCCTAAACAAATAGAAACGATGAAACGAATGAGGACTCATTGCATCACGCACAAACTATGTATGCCAAATTGTAAGCCTTACAGTTGAAAAAAAAATATTAAAACAACAAGATAAAAACGTACCACAAATGTTACATCACCACCATCTTCTTGCACAGTAGGACGAATTCTTGTATCTAATAATTCTTTTATCATTGCTGTTGTCTCATCATCTTCGGGTAGTATGCCTAAACGCAAATTAAGTTGTTAAGTATGGACTCTCAAGGATATTTCCCCCAAAAGTATACTACATAACCCGTTTACGACAAGTAAAACATTAGAATCGAAAAAAGAATCTCTTGACCCTGTGGTAGTCATTTATTCCATGTAAATTAACTACTCGTACAAACGTTCGATCACGGTAAACAAGCCTAGTTATAGAACAGTCAATCGAGCATTCGTAATTATTGATTTCGACGTCAGCATACAATTTATGATCAAAATATGCTTGTTGATGACACCAAACAACTTAGTACCTCTCCTCTCTTGCCATCCTCAATTTCTACCTAACATACCTTTCTCAACTTACTACTTTCGGGTTGTTGTTCATCTTCATTGATAATGGGTAAATTTGTAGAATAAAAATCCATAATTGTTGCATAGATTTCTGGTTTAATTGTTTGCCATTCAATATCATCATGTTGTTTTGTAACAGTGATAAAATCATTACCAAAAAATATCGATTTAATACCTTCGATACGAAATAACTGTCTAAAAAGTAGTAAAAATTTCTTTATCTTTTGAATATATCTATTGGAAAGGATTTACTTTGCTAATGGAGAACAATAAGCCGATTGTATTGTAGGAAAATCTTTTGTACCAGAGTCAAGCACTTGTTTACCGGGCAAAAATTTTAAACTATTCGGATTTGGTGTATCTTGAGTTTGAATAAACATTGAACGTTCTAAAACATAAAAATACGATGAAGAAGCAAGGACAAGTACAGATACAGACAGTACTATCAATTTTTTCAAGTATTCTCTGAGTAAGTGAAAGTACTTTTTCAAAAATACTATTATAATCCAACGTAACTCGACTCTATCAGTTCACAGTATAACTGATATGAGTCTACAATATCTCGCGGTAATCACTATTGGAAAGTGCTTAGAAAAGTATGACTTTAAATACTTAAGAAAATATTTAAAACTGCAAAAAAGGGCTTGAAAACAGAACTGGAATCAGATGAATCAGTCTATCTCAGAAAATGTTTTTCAATTTTTTAGTATGCTTTAGTCAAATAAAAAATAAAAAATATTAATGAAAAATAAATTTCTGATTTATAGGCACAAAAATTCGACACACCTTTTTGTGAACTTTTTATAAATTTGTAAATTTTATTTTTTTTAAAAGTAATAGCAATTCATCTTTTAGACGGCTGACTATTCCGACTGAATCGATCGCTATTTTTCCAGTTTATCCAAACTATTTAGCTAGCTAGTCCAGTTTAGTTTTCTCGAGGCAGTTTCAACTCCGTATGAAGAGATCGAAGTACACTTGAAATGTACTTTTAACAGATACAATTAAATATAAATACGTTTTCTAACCTATAAAAGTATAAGTACACGTATTCATACTCTTATTCATTGAAATACGAGAAATAATACATACGTATGGTATTCCATAGGCAAGACGCTGTATTTTGAAGAAATTTTGTATTTAAACGTAACATAGTTGATCTAAAATAGATGTAGACATAAAAGAAAATCATGTCTTTTTCTTGAACATATATTCTCATTTTCTCTTATGTTCTCGTTAAGTGCAGTGAAAAAGCAAACTATGTTTAGAAAAATTTTATTTAAAGAAAAAAAATTGAGAGACAGGAGTTGCATGAACTACAAAATAAAATAAAAATGTATGTGTTGATAAGTCTGATCTATGAAACAAAGCAAATAATCACTGTTCATTGTGTTTTTTTCTCTATATATTTGTTTCTAATATATCTGTGTATTGTTTTATTTTTGTTTGTATACTCATATCAATATACCTATCACCAACTTCCACGATCATACCACCCATAATTTCAGGATTTACGAATGTTTCCACGTTTAATTTTTCACCTTTTTGTGCAAATGTTTGCAATACTGAATCCAATTCTTTACGTGTTCGATCATCCAATTCTTTGGCCGTAGTAACACGACATGACAATTCACCACGATGTGAAGCCATTAGACGATTCATCACTTGAATAAACTTACTCAAACGTTTTTCACGATTATTATCGATTATTAACTCTAATGTGGATTTAGTAATATCCGAGAGCTTTTCTGTTATGGAAAGTTCATTCACCATGGATTTACCTGCAGTTAAACAAACAAAAAATAAGTGATAGCTTTATTCCTTTTTGTCTTTGAATGTGGATACTTTTCCGTACATAAAATAGCTTCATAAAGGATTCTGTTTCGTTTATTAACTTACGTTGTTCTCTGGTTAATATTGGATTACGAAATAAATCCTTCAAGTGTGTATCGGATTTCAATAATTTATCTAATTTTTGAAAATCTTTATCAACAACATCCAGTTGTTTTTGTTTTGAAGCAGCTGAATACAGGGCACTTGCATAACGACCTTCTAAGCCAAAAACCTGTATGGGTGCTTGCACCATACCTTGATAAAGACGTGCCGATGTACTAAAACAACGACGAAGGTGACCTAAGGCTAGAAAATTGGCCATTTGCTTTACAACGGTTTTTTTATCTTAAAGTAGAATGGAAAAAAAGCGATAATTATTTTTTCTTTGTCACATGTAACAAGTTCATATTCGATTGGACACTTAATCTTTAGAGTTAACATTTGTCTATTTGAGATTAAAAAAAGCACAGATTGAAGTTAAGTTTACTTCATAGCTTTATTGCTGAAGACGATAATTACGACAACTACTTTGCTACTTTACAATATGAGAAAGTATTTTGTTTCAAGAATTCGTTTCTTCAATATAGGAAATTTGGTTCTTCTACAGATCGATCACACCCCCTACTGTGGTGTGTGTGGAGTGTGAGTGTGAGTGTGTGATCGATCTGTAGAAGTACCGGAAATTTCAGTTTTAAATTCATTAAATAATTTCTGATCATTTTATATTGAGAAAAGTGTCTTATGTAGCAGCGGTGAACTGATTTTTTGTGATATTATTTCCCATTGATAGGTTGTTCTTTTTCTAGCAAAAATCAATAGAAACAGCGATTAGAACAGATAGGCATTTAGCACCGAACACAATAAACGAATAGAAAATGTGAAACTTTTGAATACTACAAAAAACTGCAGTGATGGGTTCGTAACATAAAAGACGCCATAATCTTTAATCTGTTTAAATTGATTCTGTGCATAAGACCAACATCAGAAGAGGATACAATAGTTTTAAACTCAAACCGCATTTAATTTGTGATTTTGTTATGTTAGATTAGGTTGTTTATTTATTTCTTTTTCTAGCTTCTAAACTTATGGTTTCCCATTGGTTGACTTGGTGAAAGAAGAATGGAGATGCATATGTGTACTAACACGGTTGCACGTTAAAGTTTTGATACAGATTTGATTAGTTAATGTTTGTTCCATCTTTTACTCAATAATACATGATAACTCATTTTTCTGATCAACAGAAGTCAAAGAGGGAGTTAATAACTCATTGACCGATACACACTGAAAAGTTGACTTCGATTAATAATTAAGATTTTCAAAAGTTTTTCACCTCCACCTTCGACGTTAAAACTTTTCAGGATATTCCAGCATTTCTTAAGTAAAGATTGTAGAAAGCTTTGGAACGAGGTGATCACCCATGTCGACGAAATCGCCTAACTTTTGCCGATTAATCGCGATTTTGACTCAAAATGGTGATTAAGCGCGATTTTTCTGCTGGGTTTCCAAAGTAACAAGCGAAAAAAATCGCCGATTAATCATGCGATTTATCGCGTTTAATCGCACGATTAATCGGCGATTTTTTTCGCTTGTTACTTTGGAAA